AAATCTTTCCCAGATCAATGCCTGAAGCATTTCTCCTATGTTTTCTTCTAGTAGTTTTATAGTTTCAGGTCTTACATTTAGGTCTTTGGTCCATTTGCAGCTGCTTTTTGTAAAGGGTGATAGGTGAATGTCTAGTTTCATTCTTCTGCATATTGATACTCAGTTTTCCCAGCACCATTTATTGAACAGATTGTCCTTACCTTAGTGAGTGTTCTTGGCACCTTTGTCAAAAAGCAGTTGGCTATAGATTCATGGACTAATTTCTGAGTTTTTAAAAATTATTTTCTATTGGTCTATGTGTCTGTTTTTATGTCACTATCATGCTATTTTAGTTACTACAGCTTTGTGGTATATTTTGAAGACTGGTAATGTGATGCCTTCACCTTTGTTCTTTTTGCTCAGGACTGCTTTGGCTATTTGGGGTCTTTTGTGGTTTCTTTCTTGTTTGTGTTTGTTTGTTTTTTGAGACTGAGCATTGCTCTGTAGCCAGGCTGGAGTGCAGTAGCATGATCTCGGCTTACTACAACCTCTGCCTCCTGGGTTCAAGCAATTCTCCTGCCTTAGCCTCTCGAGTAGCTGGGACTGCAGGTACATGCCACCACGACCAGCTAATTTTTTGTGTTTTTAGTAAAGACAAGGTTTCACCATGTTAGCCAGGATGGTCTTGATTTCCTAACCTCGTGATCCGCCCACCTTGGCTTCCCAGAGTGCTGGGATTACAAGCATGAGCCACCATGCCTGACCCAGTCTTTTGTGGTTTCTTATGAATTTTAGGATTTTTTTTCTATTTCTATGAATAATATACAGACATGTTAGTAAGAATTACAGTGACTCTGAGATTGCTTTTGGCAATATGATCATTTTAATAATATTAATTCTTCCAATCCATGAACATGGACTGTCTTTGCATTTGTGTCATCAATTTCTTTCATCAGTGTTTTTAGTTTTCTTTGTGGAAGTCTTTTAACTCCTTGGTAAAATTTATTCATAGGTTTTTTTTTTCGGGTTTTTTTTTGGAACTATTATAATAGAACTGCATTCTTGATTTCTTTTTCAACTAGCTCATTGTTCATATATAGAAACACTAGTGATTTTTGTATGTTGATTTTGTATGCTGCAACTTTACTAGATTTGTTTATCAGTTTTTTGGTAGTCTTTTCGTTTTTCTATGTATAAGATTATGTCATCTGCAAACAGGAAAAATTTGACTTCCTTCTTTTCAAATTTATAAGTCCTTTATTTTTTTCTCTTGCCTAATTGCTCTGGCTCGGTATCCATTCACCTACTGAAGGACAACTTGGTCTTCCAAGTTTTGACAATTATTATTATTATTATTTTTGATCAGAAACTGCAAATAGTATGGATTTATTTTTAATCAAAAGAAGAAAATTCAGAAGTGGGAGTAGAGAGAGGATTTACCTATAAGCCATGCCCATTTTTCCATATATACCCTCTTCAGGAATAGGATGGTTCTACTCCCAAATACTTCCTAAGGTAAACTTTTTTTCTTTTTCTTTTTTTTATTATTGCATTTTAGGTTTTGGGGTACATGTGCAGAACATGCAAGAAAAAATATGGAATGCTTCACGAATTTGCGTGTCATCCTTGCGCAGGCGCCATGCTAATCTTCTCTGTATCGTTCCAATTTTAGTATATATGCTGCTGAAGTGAGCACTTGACAATTATTAATAAAGCCACTATCAACATCTGTGTGCAGGTTTTGTGTGGACATAAGTTTTCAGTTCATGTAGGCAGATACCAAGGAGCATAATTGCTGGATTGTATGATAATAGTACTTTTAGTTACATAAGAGACTGTTAAATTGTCTTTCAAAGTGAATACACCATTTTGCATTCCCACCAGCAATGAATGAGAGTTTCTGTTGCTTCACATTCTCACCATCATTTGATTGTGCCAATGTTTGGTGTCTTAGCCATTCTAATAGGTGCATAGTGGTACATCATTATTGTTTGTTTGTTTGAGGTGGAGTTTCACTCTTACTGCCCAGGCAGTAGTACAATGTCACGATCTCAACTCACTGCAACTTCCGCCTCCTGGATTCAAGCAATTCTCCTGCCTCAGCCTCCTGAGCAGCTGGGATTACAGGCATGCGCCACCATGCCCGGCTAATTTTGTATTTTTAGTAGAGATGGGGTTTCTCCATGTTGGTCGGGCTGGTCTTGAACTCCCGAACTCAGGCGATCCACCCACCTTGGCCTCCCAAAGTGCTGGGATTACAGGTGTAAGCCACGGCACCCAGCCATTATTGTTTTAACCTGCAATTCTCTAATGACATATGATTTAGAACGCCTTTTCATATGCTTACTTGCCAGCTGTAGATGTTTGGTGAGATATCAGCTCAGTTCTTCTGCCCACTTTCTAATCAGGTTGTTGTCTTTTTTCTTTCTTTCTTTCTTTTTTTTTTTTTTAAAGACATGGTTTGACCATGTTGGCTGGGCTGGTCTTGAACTCCTGACCTCAGGTGATTCACCTGTCTTGGCCTCCCAAAGTGCTGGGATCACAGGTGTGAGCCACTGCACCCAGCTCTTTTTTTTTTTATGACAGAGTTTCACTCTTGTTGCCGAGGCGGGAGCGCAATGTCTTGGTCACTGCAACCTCTGCCTCCCAGTTTCAAGCATTCTCCTGCCTCAGTCTCCTGAGTAGTTTTTAATATAAAAGGCCACACCCAGCTAATTTTTTTATTTTTAGTAGAGATAGGGTTTTGCCATATTGGCCAGGCTGGTCTCGAACTCCTGACCTCAGGCGATCCACCCGCCTCAGCCTCCCAAAGTCTTGGGATTACAGTCGTGAGTCCTGTGCCCTGACCACGTTGTTTTCTTTCTTTTGTTTCTTTTTTTTGAGATGGGAGTCTCCCTCTGTTGCCCAGGCTGGAGTGCAGTGGCACGCTCTTGGCTCACTGCAACCTCCGTCTCCTGGGTTCAAGCAATTCTCCTGCCTCAGCTTCCTGAGTAGCTGGGATTACAGGTGTGTACCACCACACCTGGCTAATTTTTATTTTTTTAGTAGAGTTGGGTTTCACCATGTTAGCCAGGCTGATCTCTAACTCCTGACCTCAAGATCTGCTCACCTCGGCCTCCCAAAGTGTTGGGATTACGGGAGTGAGCCATCACACCTGGTCTTGTTTTCTTATCGTTAAGATTTAAAGAGGTTTTTTTGCATATTTCGAATAACAATCCTTTATCAGATGTGTCTTTTGCAACTATTTCCCTCTAGTCTGTGGCCTGTCTTTTCATTCTTTTGACATTGCCTCTTGTCGAGCAGAGGTTTTTAATTTTAATGAAGTTCAGCTTATCAATTATTTTTTCATAAATTGTGAACTTGGGGTTCTATCTAAAAGTCATCCCCTAGGAGGCCAAGAGGCCATGGCCATGTTAGCCCAGCTGCAAGGCTGGTCATCAGTAGTAAGAAAATCATACTCCTTTAGGATCAGTATTGTGGATACATTTAGAAAGAGGAAAATGATACAGCAGTTAAAATTCAGTGCTGGCTTACAGGATATTGACATGATCAGGCATACATTAGGCATTTACACAGCATTGTAATAAATATTCAAAAATGCAGTAATTATTTAGGCAGACAACTTTATCAACTAATTGTAAAGGTGGCATATTCTACTATGAAGATGAATCTCTAGAATGCAGTGGCTGTCGGGATTGAGAGAAGATGGTGAGGGGCTGTGAGAATGAGAAATATTGTTTTAATTATTTTTATTTGAAGGAGTATCTGAGAACTGTTTGAGGAATCAGTGATGAAATTAAGGAGGCACTAGAGGAGTTTACAGAGGTAAAAGAGGGGGAAGAGAACAAAGCTAACCTCAAAAAGGAAGAGAAGAGATCACGAAGCCTAAAAGATGCATTTTCTCCACAGCACAAAGCAGATTTCAGATATACATAATTTACCATTCAGAAGACAAATCCTCAGCCTGGCACACTAGTTCACGCCTGTAATCCCAGCACTTTGGGAGGCCAAGCCAGGAAGGGCACTTGAACCCAAGACTTCGAGACCAGTCTGGGCAACATAGCAAGATCTTCTCTATGCTTAAAAAAAAAAAAAAATTAGCTGAGTATGGTGGTGCGTACCTGTAATCCCAGCTACTTGGGAGACTGAGGCTGGAGGATCACTTGAGCCACTGGCAGCCTGAGCAACAGAACAAGACTCTGTCTCTAAAAAACACACACACACACACAGAGCAAAAAGTGTGGTCCATAGGAGTTGTAGTTATAGAAGGCAAAGCTTTTAATATGCTAATGACCTAAAGTTAAGCAGAAGTACTCTGCAAGATTTACCAACTGGCTAGCTTCTAAAAGCACCCAGTCTTTTCTGAAATGCTGCCACCTCTCAATAGGAAGCAATATCATGAACTTGGGGTTCTATCTAAAAGTCATCCCCTAGGAGGCCAAGAAGCCAGGCTGGTCCTTCCAAGGTATCGCTGAAGTATTAGAACAATGTCACAAGCCTATGGAGCCAATGTTACAGGCACCAGAACCAATCAATGAGATAAAGTTGACCAGTGAGGAGATCAAAAGAGAGGAATAAGTGCGAAATGTAATTGACAATATTGTTTTGCCATTGTCTTCCTCCCGTAAAAATAAAAAGTACATCCCATTAATCCAGAGTCAGTTAATATCCAGAGCTGGTTTACGAGATATCAACACGTTCAGGCATACATTAGGCATTTACACAGGTTGGTAATAACTATTCAAAAATGGGGTAGTTATTTAGGCAGACAACATTTAAACTAATTATGAAGGTAGCATATTGTACTATGAAGATGAATCTCTACAATGCAGTGGCTGTCAGAATTGCATTAATCACGAAAGTATGGGCCTGATTTTTATGGAGAACATTTCCAAAGTTAAAATCCTAAGAAATAGATCTATCCAAGATGGCCGACCACTAACAGCTCAGGATTGTAGCTCCCAGTGAAAGCTCAGAGAACGAGACGACGCCACATCATTAGACGAATTTTCGTCACTCACCGATTAGCCGACTCCCAGTGGAGGAGCCCCACGGGTCGCCAGCGCGACTCTTGTGGCCGCTGCAGCGGTTTTGCCGGCATCTCGGCGCAGCAGCTCTTCACGCAGAGCCAACGGGACCGCTTCCCCTACTGACCAGAGTTTGGAGCTCCGGGAAGTCAGAGCCGCTTGTTGCGGACTCAAGAGGGAAGCCAGACCAGAGATTCCCGGGCAGAAGAGCACCATCAGTCTTATCGCTGCTATTTAGGCTGCCACAGTGGGTGGCTCGGATCCCAGCACTGGGAATCAGTAAGTCGGACGTCGACTCAGAAAACTAATTAGAAAGGCGGTTCATCTAAAATGAAGGGAAAAAAACAGCCTAAGAAGGCCGAGTATACTCAAAATCAGAACCCATCAGCAACGGAACAAGCCCTGATGGAAAAGGACTCATCAGCAACCGAACAAGCCCTGATGGAAAAGGACTCATCAGTAACGGAACAAGCCCTGATGGAAAAGGACTGTGTTCCATTATCTGAAGTAGGCTTTAAAAGGTGGATGATAAGAAACTTCTGGGAGTTAAAGGAACTCGTTCTAACCCAATGTAAAGAAACTAAGAACTTGGAAAAAAGGTTCGATGAAATGTTGAAAAGAATAGACAATATAGAGAGGAATACAAATGAACTTATGGAGTTGAAAAATACAACACGAGAACTGAGTGAAATATGTACAAGCTTAAACAGCCGAATGGATCAAGCAGAAGAAAGGGTATTAGAGGTCGAAGACCAACTTAATGAAACAAAACGACAAGACAAGAATAGAGAAAAAAGGATAAAAAGGAATGAGCAAAGTCTCCAAGAAATATGGGACTATGTGAAAAGACCTAATATACGCTTGATTGGTGTACCTGAATGTGACGGAGAGAATGAAGTCAAGCTGGAAAATACTCTCCAGGACATTATCCAGGAAAATTTTCCTAATTTAGCAAAGCAGGACACTATTCAACCCCAGGCAATACAGAGAACACCACAAAGATATTCCTCAAGAAGACCAACCCCAAGGCACATAATCGTTAGATTCACCAAGATCGAAACGAAGGAGAAAATATTAAGGGCAGCCAGAGAGAAAGATCAAGTTACCCATAAAGGTAAGCCTATTAGGCTTACAGCAGATCTCTCAACGGAAACCCTACAAGCTAGAAGAGAGTGGGGGCCAATAATCAATATACTTAAAGAACAAAACTTTCAGCCCAGAATTTCATATCCTGCCAATTTAAGCTTTACATTTGAAGGAAAAATAAAATCTTTTAGGAACAGGCAAGTACTCAGAGATTTTATTACCACCAGGCCTGCTTTACAAGAACTTCTAAAAGAAGCATTATACACAGAAAGGAACAACCAGTATGATCCTTTCTAAAAATACACCAAAAAGTAAAGAGCGTTAACATAAAGAAGAATTTTTATCAACAAAAGGACAAAATAGCCAGTTAATATCAAATGGCAGCAACCCTAAAGTTAAATCAACCAAATCTCCCAATCAAAAGATACAGACAAAATCCAACGGTATATCCAAAGATATACATAGACTCAAAATAAAGGGTTGGAAAAAAAAAAACGTACCAACCAAATGGAGAGCAAAAATAAATAAATAAAAAGCAGGAGTTGCAATTTTCACATTTGACAAAATAGATTTCAAAGCTATAAGGATACAAGGGTAAAAGGATTAATGTAACAATAAGAGATCTTAACACCCAGATACATAAGACACATAGATTTAGATTCAACGAGACAACAAATTGATAACGATATCCAGGATTTGAACTCAGAGCCAGAACAAATAAACACAATAGAGGTCTCCATTTTAAACACATAAAATATGCATTAACCACTTTAAACACTCAAAATATTGATCGGCCATTATTGAAACCCATTTTAGGAATGAAGTAATATTCCTTTTTCCCTCTTTTTTTTTTTTCCCCCTCCTTTTCCCTAAAAAAAAAAAAAATGGTGAAGGCAGGATTTGAACACGAGCCTATGCATTTAGCCGTGCATTCACCCTGCCCCTCCAGCACAGAATCCAGACCTGTCAGGTCAGGGACAAAGAAATATTAGCAAAAAAAAAAAAAAAAAAAAAAAAAAAAATCCTAAGAAATAGATTCGTGACAAGTAACAAGACAAGGATGTCCATTCTTATTACTTCTATTCTATATAGAATTGGAAGTCCTTGCTAAAGCAATTCGGTAAGACAAAAAATTGGCATCCAAATTGAAAAAGAAAAAGTAACATTTTCTCTGCAGATGATATGATCATATATATTTAAAAAAAAAACAGCCAGGTGCGGTGGCTCACACCTGTAATCCCAGCATTTTGGGAGGCTGAGGCAGGCAGATCACCTGAGGTTAGGAGTTTGAGACCAGCCTAACCAATATGGTGAAACCCTGTCTTTAAAAATATAAATAAATAAAATAAAAAACCCGGTCAGTCACAGTGGCTCACACCTGTAATCCTAGCACTTTCGGAGGCAGAGGCGGGTGGATCACAAGGTCAGGAGTTTGAGACCAGCCTGACCAACACAGAGAAACCCTGTCTCCACTAAAAATACAAAATTAGCTGGGCTAATGGTGGCGCATGCCTATAATTCCCGCTACTGGGAAGGCTGAGACAGGAGAATTGCTTGAACCCAAGAGGTAGAGGTTGCAGTGAGTCGAGATTGTGCCACTGCACTCCAGCCTGGGTGACCAAGCAAGACTCCATCTCAAAAAAAAACCTCCAAAGACTCCACCAAAAACTGTTAGAACTAATAAACAAATTTAGTAAAGTTATAGAATACAAAATCTTCATACCAAAAGAAGTAACATTTCTATAAATTAATGACAAACTATCTCCCAAAGAAATCAAAACAGGCCGGGCGCGGTGGCTCAAGCCTGTAATCCCAGCACTTTGGGAGGCTGAGGCGGGTGGATCACGAGGTCAAGAGATCAAGACCATCCTGGTCAACAAGGTGAAACTCCGTCTCTACTAAAAATACAAAAAATTAGCTGGGCATGGTGGCGCGTGCCTGTAATCCCATCTACTCAGGAGGCTGAGGCAGGAGAATTGCCTGAACCCAGGAGGCGGAGGTTGCAGTGAGCTGAGATCACGCCATTGCACTCCAGCCTGGGTAACAAGAGGGAAACTCCGTCTCAAAAAAAAAAAAAAAAAAAAAAAGAAATCAAAACAATAATCCCATTTTATAATAGCATCAACAAAAATAATATACTTGGGAATAAATTTAATCAAGGAGGTAAAGGACTTGTACATAGAAAACTATAAAATATTGATGAAGTATCGAATCCGAGTCACAGCACCAAAAAAAAAAAAAAAAATTGATGAAGTATATTGAAAAAGGCACAAATAAATGAAATGATATTCTGTGTTCATGAATTGGAAGAATCAATATGTTTAAATGACCATATTACCTGAAGCTACCTACAGAGCAATGCAATCTTTATCAAAATTCTAATGATTTTTTTTGCATAAATAGAAAAAATCCTAAAATTTATATGAAACCACAAAAGATCAATAGATAAAACAATCTTTAGCAAAAAGAACAAAGCTGGAGGGGCTGGGCAGGGTGCTTCGTGCCTGTAATCCCAGCACTTTGGGAGACCGAGGTGGGCAGATCATGAGGTCAGGGGATTGAGACCATCCTGTAAACCCCGTCTCTTAAAAAAAAAAAATAAGAAGAACAAAGCTGGAGGCATCTCACTACCTGAATTTCAAATAGCATGGTACTGGCATAGCAATAGATGTATAGACCAATGGAACAGAATAGGAAACGCAGAAATAAATCTACACATTTATGGTCAATTGATCTTCAACAGAGATGCCAAGTATGCACAATGAGGATAGGACAATCTCTTCGATAAATGGTTTTGGGAAAACTGGATATCCACACGCAGAAGAATAAAATTGGACCTTTATCTTAGACCAACTCAAAATAGATTAAAGACCTAAATTAAGAACAGAAACTGTAAAACTACTAGAAGAAAACTTAGTGAGAAAGCTTCTTGACATTGACCTGAGCAATGATTTTTTTTGGATATGGCACCATAATGACATAGGACAGGCAAGAAATGCAAAAATGGACAAATGGGATTGCATCAAACTAAAAATCTTCTGCATAGCAAAGAAAACCATCAACAGAGTGAAGAGACAACCTACAGACTGTAAGAAAATATTTGCAAACCACACATTTCATAAGAAGCTAATATTCAAAATATATAAGGCACTTATATAACTCAATAGCAAGAAAGCAAATAACCTGCTTAAAAAATGAGCAAAGGTCAGTTGAGAGAGGAAGAGAAAAACAAAATGAGTAAAGGACTTTAATAGACCTTTCTCAAAAGAAGTTATGCACACGGCTGACTGTTCATGAAAAGGTACTCACCATCATTAATCATCATCGAAATACAAATCAAAATCACAATGAGGTATCGCCTCACACCTGTTAGAAAGGCTACTATCAAACAGACAAAAGATAAGCATTAACAAGGCTGTGGAGAAGAGGGAATGCTTGCACACATTCTCCTTGGTGGGAATGTAAATTAGTATAGCTACTATAAAGGAAAGTATGGAGACTCCTGGAAAACTTAAAAACAGAACTACCATATGATCTAGCACTCCCACTTTTGGGTATATATCCAAAGGAAATCAAATCAGTATGTCCAAGAGATATCGGCACTTCTGTGTTCATAGCCATGTTCTTCACAGTCGCCAAGTATACAGTCGACCTAAATGTCCATTGAATGGTGACTAGATAAAGAAAATGTGGTTTAGGCCGGGCGCGGTGGCTCACGCCTATAATCCCAGCACTTTGGGAGGCCGAGGTGGGTGGATCACGAGGTCAAGAGATCGAGACCATCCTGGCCAACATGGTGAAACCCTATCTCTACTAAAAATACAAAAATTAGCCAAGCGTTTGGCACGCGCCTGTAGTCCCAACTACTCAGGAGGCTGAGGCAGAAGAATCGCTTGAACCCAGGAGGCAGAGGTTGCAGTGAGCCGAAACTGCACCACTGCGCTCCAGCCTGGCGACAGAGCAAGACTCCGTCTCAAAAAAAAAAAGT